GTCGACGAAGTTGATCATCTGGTCCTCGCCCGCGGAGCAGTACACCGCGTCGTCGAGGAAGCGCAGCCGCGTGATCTCGTCCAGGTGCAGGCGCGCCACCACGTGTGTTGTGCTCCACGTGCGCGTGTCGACGAGGTGCGTGTCGCCGTTGACCGCGACGCCGATGCAGCGACCGCTGGGCGTGACGCCGACAGTGCCACCTGCAGCACCGCTGCCGCAGAACTCACCGAGGAAGTGTGCCGGGCGCCGCTGCCGCGTGTCGCTGACCATCACGCCGGTGTCTTCCTGCGCGGAGTACAGAAGCTCCGGCTGCGATGGCGTCGACGTCACGTCGCGGATCGCACACGTGTGGCCGCTGAGGCTACGCACAAAGGCGGCGGTGTGCGTGTCGTAGCAGCGGATGGTGTGGTCGGAGACGGAGAGGCACAGCGTGGAGCCGCTGTCGCATAGGCAGCCGTCCAGCACGTACGCGCCGTCCTCAGCAGATGCCTTCACGGTGTGGAGTAGCTGCATCGCCCGCGCTTCTGCTGCTGCTGCTCCTAATGCTACTATTACTGCACGCACAGGTGCACGTGGTGACGAAAGAAAAACATTGGGGGAGAGTCAAAACTGTGCTGAGAGAGAGACGTGGGGGTTTCCAACAGAAACAACACAGAGAAAGGGAGGAAAATAGAAAAGGAAAAACATGTGGTATGTGCTTGTATGTATGTATGTATCTCTGTGCGTGTGCGACACTCACCGCGACGGAGCTATGCGTGGCAGTACTCTGGGCACAGTCGCATAGCCACACATACACAAAAACATACACATAATAGTAACAATAAACAAGCAACACAGAAGCAACAGCTACTCGATCCAGGGGCGATGCTATACCTCCGCGGCACGAGTCTACCGTCCTCCTCGCCCCCACTCCCTCTTCATCTTCCCTTTCCGCCAGCTGCACATGCACGCTTGCTACCACCCCCACGCGCAAACACAGAGAGAGACTATTTCCCTACCTGCCCCCCAGCCCACGACCTATATATTTCTCCACTCGCTCCTACTCTTGCAGACACTACAACTTAAACTCATTCAGGCACGACTCAAAGAGCGCTAACTTTGACTGACAGAAATCCACGTTGTTGCCGTGGCGCTCGAGGCACTCGTGCACCTGCTGGCTAAACAGTCGACACGGGTGCGCTGTGCTCGACGCGAGCTGCGCCTCTGGCTCATTGGCGCCAAAGAACGGCGTGAGCCACGAACGTTTGTACTCCTTGAACGCAACGGTTCGCTTCGAGTCGCCAATGTCCGTCATGTGCGTGCGGGCGCGGGCATGCCGCTCCGCATGCGCCGCGGCGTCACCGCCGGCAGCGGTCGGCTCAGCAGGCGTCATTCGTGTCTTTGTGCGTCGCTCCGCTCGCACGCCTAAAGAAACAAACGCCGATACCCGCGCAATGCACTNACACACGCACACGCAAGCAACGGTAGTCACAACAACTGACTGCGCCTGCGTCCCACACAGGCTGCAGCCCACAGACAAGCTCAACAAGAAAAACCAGAAGCCAAAAGAGCACACGACGAAAAAAATATGGAGCGAAATAAAAGAGCGGCAAGGAATCGCATTAGAGGAGCATTCCACACACGCACACACAGAGTGCAGCAACAGAAACAAGAAAAAGGAAAACGGGTAGGGAGTCAAGTGCAGCACATCGTAAAGGAAGAAAAAACAATTTCCACCACTCAAACATTCAGCATCACGCGTCGCTTGGAGTCTATAGGGATGCGGCCGAACCAAAACAAAAAATAACTCAGCCATGGCATTACATGAAATTCTATAGGGGCAAGCACACCCTATTTGTTCGTGGAAGCGTCCGCCTTACTCGTACTCAAAACTGAATTCCTTCAGCTACACAGACAGCGAGGAAGAGGGCGATGATGATAATGATGATGATGATGATGACGTTGACGGCAATGTAGAAGCCTTAGTTGAATATGATGTAGAGGAAGTGTACGTAGGAGAGGCATCCCTCTTTGAGGCCGCGTCACCACTAGCGCTGCTGCTCCCTATANTTGGGCCAGCCTTGGGCACAGCTCCATCCTGCCTTGGCCCCAAGTGTGTGGAAGAGTGAGAAGAGAGGCTGTCGGTGCCATTGGTCTTGTTGCTGGAGCTGATACAAACCCCGTTGTTCGGTTTCTGTCGTCGCTGCGGTGCTGCATCCTCATTGCAGGTGCCATTGGCAGCTGATGCCGCTGCTGTTAGCATCACTAGCCGCTCCCGCCAGGGTGCCTTGTTGCCGTCCTCCACGAACGGCAGCCCAGCGTCGATACCCCAAAACAATTCTGGAGTTGCGAGCAATGTGACAAAGCGACCCTGGTCCGCCATCGACGACAGTTCCTGCAGCAACGGTCGCTGCAGCAGACGCTCATTCTTGATCATGGCTTCCCCCCACGCCACGCGTGCCCTGTTACGTTTCGCATCACGCTCTTGTGGAAGCTTCTTCCGTTGCGCGGCCATGTGGCTCCCGCTCAGCGACGACGGGGTCTTTGCGCGGCACCACAGCGACGGACCGCCCTGTGCAGCAGCCGCAACAGACGACCAGGCATCCTCGTCGCGTGTGGCGCCGCCGCGGACGCGGCCAGAACTCGTCCCTGCGCAATCCGAAGCACCGCTTTGCGAGCCGAGCGGGCCCTGATTTAGGCGGAGCTGCAGCGCCTCGCCAAGTGCGCTGGCGTCGATCATGTCGCAATCTTCGAGGATGCGGTATATGTAGTTCTCCCCCGCGACGTTAAATGGGAATGGCCGCGTGAGCTGCTCGCGCCAGTTGAAAATAGCCTCCACAAGCAGCAGTGTCACCGCGTGGTGTTCATCTAGCATGCGCGTGAAATGCGCAGGAACTTCTACGTGACTCGGTGGTGCGGCGCCGCCTTCGTAGAGCTCGCAGCAGTGCAGCAAACCAGCCACGAGCTCGTCACGGCGGTGGCACAGCTCCAGCACACGTAAAGTGGCGGCGTGATGCGCATCCAGGTTTTGGCAGAGCGCCTTAAGGGCGGAAAGGCACCGCGGCCCCTCCTGTTGCGGCTGTTGCTGCCCACCAGAGGACATGGACACAATATCCCGCACAGGCAACACGATGCACTCCTCGTACAGCTCCCTGTCAATTGCAGGGATGCGGAGTTGCCGCACCGCATCGCCGTAAGCCTGAAGCAGACGCTGCATCTCTTGCACAGTGCTGCTGTCGACAGCAGGGGCGCTCCTTGAAGTCATCGCGAGAACCCAAGTAACTTGGCGAATCTTCGCCCCCAACTCTGTTCTACCCTAAATACCGCCTTGAGTTTTCTACTCCGTGTTGCTCTTTTCGTTTCTTTTCTTTTTTTTT